CTACCACTACCACTACCACTACCACTACCACTACCACTACCACTACCACTACCACTACCACTACTACTCCTCCTCCTCCTCCTGCTGCTGCTGCTGCTACTGCTACCACTACGACTACCACTACCACTACCACTACCACTACTACTACTACTACTACTAGTACTAGTACTAGTACTAGTACTAGTACTAGTACTACTACTACTACTGCTGCTGCTGCTACTACTACTACTACCACTACCACTACCACTACTACTACTACTACTGCTACTACTACCACGGCGATGACGACGACGACTACTACTACTATTCCTGCTCCTGCTTTGGGGGGGGTGGCTGTGCCACAAAACTCTACCCCGCAAAAGGCGAAAGTTTGGCGAAAGTTCAGCTCAAGATTGGCGAAAGTTCACCCTGCCACATCTGAGCCCCAACCCATTATGAGTAAGTCTGAGTGACCGGCTACTACAGTGATTCTTGCAATTTTGACTCTTGCTGACACCCAAGAAAAACAGAAGAGACGTACAGGGTGTCAGCAGTTAAGTAGAAGACACATGCTGACAAACAGTGCCGTGTTTATTTTGTATTTGCCAGTAAAGAAGAAGCCATTGACATTGACGTGAACAAAGTTGATATCCATCATACAACATACATGGCACACATAAATACAACATACTTCGGCCTCGGCGAAAGATAAAACGCAGGAAGGCGAAAGCTTGGCTAAAGTATTTTTTGGCTTAGATGCCGGATCCCGGATAAAGGAATTTAGATCAACACCCATATATATATATACAACATACAATGTACGCATACACAGTTTCAATATTCTGGTTTTGTGCCATCTCTTCTTAGTCCCCGCCCAATCGTTATTGCATCCAACAAACGGATCTGGAGCATTGGGCTCACAAGATCTGACAACTCCTGGGGCACTTTTAGCCTCGGCTGATGTTTCCTTCGTCGGGGCTGTCAGCTTTCGCATGCCTATCACCGGGTGATGTAGTCGAATATTCCTCAGATACATTGGTGAGCAAAGCGATAGCCCAATGAACCCCGCAAGCTGCACAATGCCTGGTTTGATCGTGTACACATATTTCGTGGTTCAATCTTCTCTAGGGTTGCCCCATGGATTGCAGTCATACCAATCAAGTGCCCTATGGCCCTATGGCTTGAAGCCAAATCGCCCCTACTTGATTTGGCTTTGCGAATATAGCCAGCCATGCAGGTAGGAAACAGACAGTATTGTTCTCTCATTGTATGGCTGCGTGCACTTGCGGGACTTTTGAGATATCAGAGGCTGGAACTGAGCGTTCCAACATAAGGAAAGAGCCAGCAACTCAGCCACTATCCAGAAGGGTATATGACACGAGCTGATCCATTGGGGCTAGCAGATCAACCTTTTGGAAGGAAAGTCAACTTTATTGGGAAGGCCATTAAACTGAGGTGCCAGGGTGCAATGGATAATCTCATGTCTACGTGACTATCTCCCTAAACATATAATGCTCATTTTGGCAGCAACATTTGACCGATGCCGACAGGACTTCAACCCAACTGGCTGAGGAGGCCGGTCTTTTTTCTGTGGAGGTTCAAGGCGTGGTTTCAAACAGTTTCAAGCGATTTGCCACGGAATCTCTATTTTTAATGTGGAAGGGCACTGAGTCTTGCTCTAGCCGCTAGCCTGACGACCCCATCTGCAGGTTTACAGTATATCAGCTCAAACATACTTAGTGGTACGATCTGCAGTGTGCCTTGGCTGGATGTGCCAGAATGCTGTGGGAAAATGATGTGGTGTTGTCTTGTCAAGAAGGGGCACTTGCATTTCAGTAAAGAGTGCCCAGTACCAGGTTCCTAGTGGTGCGAGCGCTTACTCCAGGTCACAGAACAAACAAAAAAACAGGTTTCTGAGTTTGGCCTTGACTCACCACAAAGAAGTCTATAGATCCATGTAAATCCAGTGTATTCTCCGCAATAAAATCCTTCAATCTATACTATACTCTTCCTGTAGATTCTTGTTTGTTAAGATCAAAAGATCAATAGGAAACCCGGCCCATTGGTTACTCATGGTTTGCAGCGTCTGTCCATGCAGTCCACGCATCGACCTAGTGATCTGGACCCCCTTCACATCACCTGTTGCCTGATGGGCATCACGACCCGAGAACATTGGGAGCCTTGCATTGCAGGATCGAATCTGCAAGATACCAGTGGTTGGCTCACAGCAGGGGCTCTCAGAAGGATTCGAAGCATGAACTGACTCACTCCCCCTGGAAGAACGAGTCAGACAGGTGAGTGGAGCTGAGGAGGAAGCTTTTTGGATCGGAGTCGACTTGTGGTTCAGTAGTTTGAGGCTGAAAGGACATGTCCCCATGTGTAATGGCACCTCATCAAATTGTAGTTCGCACCAAGCCTTTGCCTTGTTCTTCGCACTTGGTCGCAACTAAGCAATCTAATTGCAAATCTATGGCAAGATTTGTTGACCGTGGAATCCCAGATCCCGGCTTCCAACAGCCAGGAGACTCTAGAGTCCAGAGCTTCGTAGAAAGCGAATGGAACAATGAACAATCCAACGATAGTGCACAATGAACCCCAAAGAACAAACTCAGACTGAATGCGTGAGAACAAAATTTCAAAAGGGTCATTGTCTCATTGTATACAACTGCCAGCTCAAAAACATATTTTTTGCCAAACAAATGCCTCCCTGTGCACAGCTAGTACACGGCAGTTGATTTGGTTGATTCGCAGGTCCCAAGAAATCTTACCTTCCAAATAAGCCTCTTTGTTGGGGTGCCAGCGATCCACCTGGGTTCTGCTCGGTTCACCGACCTGCTCATGTGCTGCCCTACCAATCCCTCGCAGGTTCAAAACTCGGACTGAGCCTCACCTGCATAAGCCACGCTGTGTTTGCGCAACCAGCGCTGCAGCGCTGTGTGCAAGTGCCGCCGAAAGATGAGGTTTCCAGAGAAGAGAAAACAGATAAAATAACGGACTTCACTGTGAATGTCAACCACATAGGGTGTGAGTTGCCCCAGCAAGATAGAAGGGCTTGGTTCTCAAAGTCAATGCCTCTGCTCCTCGGCCTTGCAAATGTTTTGAGACGCGCAAGTAAACCCCTACCAGTTGAAGAGGACAGAGAAAGTCGGTCAATTGGGGTTTTACTAACAATTCTCTGCACAGGTTGACCGGCCAATGTAAGGTTTCTACTGCACCTGGCGGCACCTGGCGGCAAAGAGGAGCAAGTGGCTGCAAGGGAATCCTCACCTGTAATTCTTTTCACCCCCAACGTTTTGCACCGAAGGTGCATAGGTTGTACTGAGTGGGCAAAACAAAGCAAAACAGCAACATTTAGTGAGATGATGTGTCCAATAGTGTCTTAGCTTCAAGCTGTTCTGTCACAACCTTTGCACGAGCTGTCAGCATGCTGGACTGACAGTGACTTGCCCGCAGAGCGACCAAAAATTGACGATGCTTTTCTTGCCAGGTCTAACATGTTAGTGATGAAAACCATCCTGACATCATGATAGTTGAGCTGAGGACTCTGGCACTTTCGAGTATACACCTAAGTCCACGAAAAAGAGATGACCCTGCCATCACGGCACAAACCACAGTGTCTTTTGTCAAGCCGAGAAGGTAAATATTGTTGTGGAACCCACGAGAGCTATTGAAGAAGAACCTTCGCTTTGGCTGCAGTTCGGAAGCCATTGAGATGCGCATTTGGATTCCGGACCTTTACTTCATACTACGGGTTTCAGCATGACGCTGGAGGATGCTTGTGATGTAAAGCATCGCTTGGAAACCGACAAATCACTTAATTAGTGAGGCATGCCATAATATTCCAGACTCTTTAAGATGATGCTTGGAAGTCACCAGGATATCCTGCACACTTTCGATCCATGAACGTCCATTGTTCTATTATTGGCATTCACACTTGATTCAATACATGAAAAGACGAGACGATTAATTTTAATTGAATTCTCGTAACAAATAGCAAACCTTGTTACTAGTAGTAAGGCCAGGAGCTACTAGTAGCGTCCTTGCTCCTAGTAGCGATGCCCTTTGCTCCTAGTAGCGAACCTTGCATGAAAGGGGTTGTGGCAGGTGGCACAGGAGAATGATTGTTCACCAACTGTATCAACACAGCATTGGCTCACACGACCAAGAAGTGAAACAAGTTACTCGCACACACCATGGCTTCCAAAAGGTTTGTTCCATTGCGCTCCGACAATATTTTCTTTTCCTCAGTTGCTAGATCAACTTGCAGCTTCCAAAAAGATATTCCTCTTTCTCCGACAAAGGAAACACCCAGCCAACAGCGACACATCGCCATCATCACGCGTCACGTGCCACGCCTCCTGTGGACTTTTTTTCGCCATGTCCATCTTCAAGGAGCTGCTGGACCCCCAGCGCAGGCGACACTCCCAACCGAAGAAGTTTGGGGGTAAACCACTGGTCTGGAGTCTCGACCTCGACCTCAACAAATATCCAGAAGGAGGGCCTCCTCAACTGGTCAGGTTTGCCATGATGAATAATGTTTATATAACAATGTTAAACCCATATTTTCTGGATTCCACCAGGTCCCCTAGTTTCAGCCTGGGGGACTCCTTTCATCATACACTTTCCCATGGCTTTGCTGTTCCAAATCATCCAGCGCACCTTGACAGAGGTTATGAAGATGTGGTAGTTTAGAATCATAAGGAGTGCACAATGGACACCAACCTTCCCAAACCCAACCTTTAGATACTTGTAGTACTGTAGTACTTGTGGTATTTGTTCTTGGGTGGACCTTGCCTGCCCTCCGGTCGCTGCAGGCGCTCACGGACTTTGCGGAACCCCGTGGAGCTGAGCGATTTCGAAGCAGCAGAGACGGTGCCACCGCAGCGGCAGCTGGCGTCGCTTCTGCGGGACGTGGCAGGCGGGTTGGCCGGATGGCTGGAGCTTGAGATGTGACTTCATTTTGTGGATCAAGAGCACATCCAGACCGGGTGTCAATGACTTTCAATCAGAAGATACAAAAGACACAAGAATCAACTGTCTCCAAAGTCGAAGAGTGTTAGTGTTGAGATGTTTCACGCGGTTGGTGGCATTGTTTCGGCAGGCAAGATGACGGAGCATTTAGGGCAGGTGGCAATGGCCCAGCGTCAGTTGATGCATGGACTTCAAGAATATTTGGGCTGCTCACTTGCAAGTTTTCTGAAGGTCTGGCTGGTTCAGGGCATACGCCAGAACATATTTGACCAGCGACCAATAACCTCCCATGCAACAATTTGAAGAATGTAAGATACATTCATGAATGGTAACCACACTTTCCCGAACAATTTGCAGAAGATTTTGTGAATGTTCCGTGCGCGAAAGCTTGTGAATCACCGTGAAAGCGATTTTTGGATACCAGCAGATGTTCATGCTTGGAATGGCTCGTATGTAAGTAAATGTGAAACAGCCCTGTCTGCGAACGCTTGCGAAGGTAGTTTTGCACAGAGCATCGGGCGAAAGCCAAGCGCAAACCGCTAACGTGTTGAGAAAGACATATGTGAAAGAAGAGCCCATTTCAACAAGTTAGTTTTTGACGGGTTTTTCAAGAGCGATCATTAAATGTTTGTGTCCACACATATATATATATAAATTTGTTTTGCAGTGCACAAGGTTGGAATCATAATCTCCAGTTTCTTTGTCCCCAAGATAAAAAAACAATTATATATATACACATATGTCCCTGACATCTCCATAATGCAAATTGCACCAGATGGAAACCCAACTCGGTGTGAATGTTGATTGACAACCAAAATAAAGTGAGGCAGACGGTTGTGTATCAACATGGAGAGACGCCTGCACTGGCTTTTAGTGATATATACTCTATTGTCCGTATCCTCGAACGTGTCCACTTTACCGTTGCCCTCTACCCTGAGTCAATTGCGACATAATCGAAGAGCAACACTCACGAAGCAGATTCTCCCGCTTAAACTGATGAATGAGGATCATGTTTAGGCTTAAAATGGCTTAAAGGCATGGTGTGCCTCGCTTCTATGGAATTTGACCAGGCTTGGACGTCAGTGGAGTGGATGTTGCTGCGATGGCCTTGGTGCAAGAATGTGCCAGTGCAGTCGAGAAATACGAGAGCATCTTGAAAGAAGCAGGCTAACAGCAGGGCGTTGATGCGTGCCGCATTGAATGGTGAAGTCTTCGGTCCAACAGCCCTCTAAAGTTGCTTCTGCTTGGGGAAGCCTTGTCACGTTTCCGTTTGCGATCGGACGTCTTACTAGGTTTTACCAGGGGTCAAACTGACCAACGACATTATTGCCTTGGATGGATGTCTTGGAGCGATAGGAACTAGCCTTCAGCGTGGGATTTCAATGGGCGTCGTTTGTCTCAAGACTGCTGGTTTAGGGCTCGGATTGAACACTTGAACGACAAGTAGCTTGAAATTATCCTGTGATCTATATATTCTAATCAATCATAGCGGCTGTGTGGACAGCTCTTGCTTTGGGGCTCCCACTGTCAATCAGACATTGCCGTGCAGGCCTTGCCGAGATGCCACTCGCAAGAAGGGGATGGATCTGGCGGGGAGCCGCCTGCAGGTTTCCCCCGACGTGGATGATTGGTACCTAACATCATATATGTGATGATGGTGAGGCCATCGCTCTTAGGTCGGAGGGCGTCGCTCTTGTATGTGATTATGGTGATGTATTTGATCCGGTGACTTCTTGAGAATGGGAGTGTCGCAGGGGATGGCAACATGGCCGTTTGAGTATGCTTACTGAACAAATTTCCTTGTGAAGTTTGAAAGACACAATTTGACGGTTTGTCAAGTGTGTTTTCTGGGCATCAACCTCCAGTTGAGCGAGGGGTCCGCAATTGTTGCCAACGGCCACAAGAGGGACCACCAACATTGTGAATACTCGGGGTTGAGAACAGGGATAGACATGGGAGGTGCCATGATATCGAGACAATCGACTTTGTCACAAAGCCCGACTAAAATATGGCGACAGGCTTCATGATTGTTGTTTTCATGACAATCACAGGCCCAAGTGAGCTTGGCAATTCCCGCCGCTTATAACGGTCGACCATGAGATGATGGAACGCATTTTTTCTCATGACTTGGGGGGATACTTGTGTTGTATGATATTGTATGGCTTGCAACCTTGCCACTGGAGTAGTTACTTGATGAAAAGTGATGAATACTTAGTCTGAATCTGAGAAGGTATGATATTACTGTAAACTTCACCCCCAGCACCTGATTTTGGAGTCAAGGAACCAACAAAAAACGATACTTCTTCTTTCACAGGTTTCGCACTTAAACGCGGTTTGGGTAAGCTGGGAGGCCACCCTAGGAATTCTGGACCAGAGGCCGTTTGACTAACTGCGTCCGAGGCAATCCGCGTGCGACGAGGTGCTTCAGGAGTGCGACAATCTGCTACACCTCCGTGACAGGGTCGCACGGATCGTGGTCGCAAAGGGTCGCAGGGCTTGGTTTTGAGAAGGCCAATCATGGCATGAGGCAGAATTAAAACCTGTGACAACTTTGGGTTTTGGTAGGGAAAGACACGTAGGCTTGACAGTCGCGAACATCATAATGCATGAATGGGAACAAACATTCGACGAACTCGCATGATTATCTCAAGCCTTTGGGAGGAAGTGAACTGCCTCGTACCACAGCGCAATTTATCCAACTCATTAGAACACTTTTGACATTCAATGGGTAATCGTGTCCACTTACTTTCCAGAGTGTCCACATTTCTTGGTGATGGTGATTGCCTTGTCCTCTTTCAATCCCTTCGCGGTAGCGCGGAGCAGAGCTGCTGAGGCCAAGATCGTGATGCCGCCGTCACAGAGCGCCAGCATTACGAGGAAAAGTTGGAATCTTTGCAGGCGGCCAGTCGAGGCGCGCTCTGCCAGAATCTGCGCATGAGGTTAATATAAGTTGTTGCAGTTGTTACCGTTGGCTGTAGCTGTAGCTTTTGTTCTTCCTCTCCTTCTTCTACCTGTCTCTGGCGGTGGTCGGTGGTGGCAGGGGCAGTTGAGATTGCTTTTGCTTGTTACCGACAAAAGCATTTTGCTTGACAGTGTGAATGGGCGCTTCATGTGATGTCCAGTCGCATGTTTGCACCGCAATGGCGGCAGTTTGATGGCACAAGTTCCTTCCTGAAGAGCCCTTTAAGGGTGAAAGCTCACCAAAAGTGTGGCGCCGGGCTGGCTTGATAGACTCCTAGTAACTCAGTACTTCGAGATCTGTGCGGGAACCTGGCTGGAAGTATCAGGGGTGGCTGCGGCTCAAGACTCTTTGGCTACATCTGGCTATCAGTCCAATCGCAAGTTGGAACAGTAAATTGACTCATCATCGGACATTCTGTGTTCGGTTCATTGGGTCTTTCACTCCAGGAGTGATGACTGAACAGATTGCTCGGAACACGGACAAGTTGAACAAAGCCAACCGGGTTTTGGAATCTCAGGCGCGGGCAGCGGAGAATTTCATGTTCCAACATGTCACAACAAAGTCCGCGCTGGACTTGGACATTGAGTGCCACTAAACTGTCTGTTGGTTTCTTGCCTATAGTCCACATGACTTTATAGACCTTTCTAGCCTGAAAGGATGGCTCTGCAGGCAGAGTCACCTTTAAAACAAACGTTTTCTGAGCAGAAGCGTGGAGAGCGTCCGGCCTTCTTTCAGTAGTAGCCTCCCTTATGGCATCCGGAAAGGTTTACAGATTCTCCCGAGCCTGAAACTGCTGTCCTGGAATTGCTTGTGGCCAAGGGATTACCCTCTCCAAAGTCAAACGACATGCTATATAGTCTTTCAATGCATTGGAAGAGTGTTGAAGCCTTCGTTTTGGATGGGACTTGGCAGGAGAGGAAGCTGGCTGCCGCTCTTCGAGTCTTCATGTATCGGCGTCCAGTGCACTTTAGGCTGACGTGGGGCCTGTGAGTTTGGGAACCCAGGATCCTGCTAAGCAACTCCGCTGGGGGTGTTTGTTACTGAGCTAGGCTTGGGTTGGTCCGCACTCCAAACAGACTCTTTCAGAATATGCTTTTGCTCCAAGAAGCATGGATGTGGTACAAAGACCCACTTTTGGGAGGACCACTTTGAATTCCACGCAATTGTCAGCGGTGTCATGACAACTAGGCCCTGTATTTACCACGATTGTCCTCAATTTGAAGATGCAAGGTCTTTTTGCGTTGAAGCATTAGCAATTAAAGCAAACATGACCAGTGATGATTACTATTCAGCTCCAACCACAGAGACATGGAGATGTTGCTCATGCGTTGCTGTGAGGCAGATGTTCCTGGCCTTGTTTCGAAAGTATCTAAGCTTTTTGACTCAGACGCTTGTACCTGAGGGTGTTTAGATCGAGGCAGGCGCTGACAACAGGCTTGGGAGAAGACCGCATCAATCAAGACCACATCAATCTGCCAAGCTTGGTCTGACCAGTTTTCATACGGAGGAGGATATCCTGAAGGAGCGTTTCAACTTGGCTGAGCTGTATGGTTCTTTTGAAGAATGAACATGGTCAAGCAAACAACTGGCCAGCTCCTTTTTGTGGCAAAAGAAAGATGTATATACGTCTCAAAATGCCAAGAAACGACTATTTCCCCTGATATCCTTTGCTGAGCAAGCTGTATAGTACTTTGAGCCGCTCATGTTTCTAGGCCCTAGGCGGTGAACCAAAAACATGGCCTCAAGCGCTTGCTGGGAAACTAGCGCAGTAGGCTGGCCCACACCGGTTCCAGTGCTTATGACATATGAGTTACGGAGATGGAGATGGAACAAGCCGGAGACGGGAATACGATTTCCTCTGGCTCACGCTCTCGGTTTCTACGTCTCTACCGTTTGAAACATGTGTATCCTTCCTCTTGCGGCTCAGGATGGGGAAAGAAAGTGAAAAGACCTTGGAACTGATCAAGGCCTCTGGGGCCAGGGGGCCCTTCCAAGTTGATTGGACAGAATATATATATATACACATGTACCATGCATATAGTATAAACATATATATCTATACATACATATATATATATACATAAACATATCGCATTTCAATGCTTTTCAAGGCTCGTATGAGCCCCCAAAGAGAGTCTTCCACCGCAAGAAAGTGCGACCCTAAGAAACAAACTCCTTGGAAGGGTACAGTGGTGCAGACTTTTACCAAACAACATGTTAGGTCCTGTTATATAGGTTTGATACTCCTCCCACCTGGCGGCTATAATTGTCACGTTCTTTGTTTTTAATCTCATGTGGAATACCCCGTCACCTTCCTCATTTGGCATGCTTGATCGAAAGTGTTTGCTCTTCAAATACTAAGCCACTTTCACCTGTCCCACGCAGCTCTCCCCGAACACTGCATGTTCAAACCCCATTGAGAGACTTCTCGTTTGGTTGCCCGCAAGCAATGTTTTGGAGAAGAATGAGAAGAAACTATCCATATTTCATTGGCAGCTTCTTCTGCCATCACCGCCGAACTGGGTTGGCGCTTGCTCCAGGCTGATCTCCACGTGGGCTGCCAAGCTCAGATCGTTGGCTTGCAGAAGTCTATCGAGCTTAACGGCCAGCTGGCAACCGTCGTGGACGAAGAAGAAGGCACCAGCACCTTGATCCTCGGAGTTGTTCTCCCCTCAATATCACGTCTGAAAAGTTTTGCAGGCTCCAAACTGACGGCCGGTTTGCTTGCCGTCAAGCCCCTCTGCAGGTGGAGCCAGGCTGCTGGTGGAGCTACAGGATGGTCAGCAGAAGTCTGTGCGAATCGAGAACCTTTGCCCTGCCGATGCCCTCCGTCTTGAGTCACCAGCTAGCGGCTCCGTGGCCGCCTTGGCGGCTGCACCAGCGGCCGACGTGGCAGCGTCGACGGAGGAGAGTCCCAGGCGTGGTGACACATTGAGTTCAAAGGACTTCGCAGAGCTCAAGGCAGACATGTATGTGGTGTGGGAGTCCACATTGGTGAATGTTGAGCCGGATTTGTGGGCACGGATGATTTGCATACTGTAATCTTTTACTGTAAATGTCCTCGAAGTGGCAAGTCAACAAAAATAATCTGCAATCCTGCGCCTTTAGGTTGTGCAAGGAACAGGGAAACTCAGTAATGATTACGGCGCCTCGCCTATATCTTGGGTTTGATCCATTTGTAGGGAGTCGACGCATCAGCAAGACTGCCTTCACTGGCAATGACTCTTGTCACGACACTGGCTGCAGCTACACTCATAGATGGGTCAATCTCATGAGCCATCACGATTAGACAATTAGATACTCCCTAACTTACAGTGAATCGCCCGCCCTTACTATGCCCAGCTGCAAGCTCTCACCTGAGCATGTCACCGGGAGACCTGAGCCAGGCGTGGCGAAGGAGGACGGCTAAGATTGGATCCTCCCAGAGTGCCGTGCTCCGGAGGCGAAGTGGAGGTGGAGGTGGAGAATTTGGCGGGCTCAATCAGTGAAGTCTTGGTGAATGGATCCTTGGCAACTTCAATCGATTTGAAATACGTGGGGGCAGAAGATAGCGCAAAGCTGGTTGGTCACCATCCTCAGCCCAGGAGCGAGGTGTCAGATCTTGCAGAGCTTTCCGAGAGACGGGAGGTGTGTGGCTCAGATCGAGGTGCCAGCGATTTCCGACGATGAAGTTGGAGGACTCCTGGGATGGTGAAGCAATTGAACATATGACATCTCAGGGATGTGGGCAAGGATTTTGTTGGCGAACATATCGTTTTTTTTGCCGAGGAGGCCGTTCTACGAAGGAAGGCTTTCTGTATGATTTGGAGTACTTTGAAGACCGATGCACTTCAGAAGATTGGGCTGGTGGTTTTCATAGATTCCAGTCGGAGTCCAGTCTCTAAAAGAATTGCACCCCCAGGATGACTCTTTCTAAAAGCCAGGAGCTTGTGACGTTGAAGTGCGAAGTGCCTCCTGGCACCGCCATGTGGTCAGAGAACCAGTGCCTTGGCATGCTTGGAGGGGCGACGATGGTAGCACGCTGACACAATCCGCAGATAGAATGGCCCCAGAGGCCATTACTTCACCTGTCTATTGTTAGCACAGCTGTCATGGTAATTTCTAGCGATGCCGAATCGGCCTTGGTGTCGCGTCAAGAAACAACGCCCCGGTCCGCTTGCAACAGGCAGTTGACCAAAGTACCTTTGAATTCCAGCGCCAGTTCCCTCCGTTGTTAGACTGATGTTCCTGGAGTGGGAAACCAGCGTTGTGTAATAGAGACTTTGATGATCATCTTTGATATCGCTCACCGACTCATTCACTGTTGCAGTCAAATGGATCGACCCAAGATATTCATGGCTTCTTTGCTGGTCAGGGAGTCTGTCTGTCACTGTCACTGTCACTGTCACTGTCACTGTCACTGTCACTGTCACTGTCACTGTCACTGTCAC